CTTTGGAGCAGCCCCTGAGATATTGGAGCACTGCTATTATGTCTCCCCTGATCCTTCTTTTCATTCAACTAGACACACCCAGTTCCTGCAACCGTTCTTCATATGTTCTAGCCTCCAGTCCCCTCATCCTCTTTGTTGTTCTTCTCTGCACTCTTTGTAGATTCTCCACATCTTTTCTACATCGTGGCAACCAAAACTGGATGCCTTATTCCAAGTGTGGCCTTGCCAAGGCCTTATAAACTGGTATTAACACTTCACGTGATCTTGATTCTATCCCTCTGTTGATGCAGCCTAGAACTGGGTTGGCTTTTTTGGCAGCTGCTGCACACAGCTGGCTTTTACCTGGGTAAGTCCTGGAGAGGGGGGGGTGTCCCTGGAAGATCTTCATCCAGGGAGCCATCCAAGGAGGAGAAATGACACTCTGGACCTACCCAAAGTCTATAGCTGCCCGCTTGCATCCCCCTCCCCTATATCAGCTTGGCTGGCATCTCCCTCTGGACTCACCTCAATGTCTGGGATGTTTTCGAACAGCTGGTGGGCGATGTCCTTGCACCCCTGTTGAAGTGCTTCCGGGGGCATCTCATTGTCCGAATACCAGTCCCGGTCGGCCGAGTGTGCGTAAGCGGCGCTCGGTGTGGCGTGGTTGACGCGGGTGGTGGTGACAATGCCCACAGATTTGCCTGCAGCCGGAGGAAGAAAAGGCAATCAATCCCTGCCACCACGAAGGGTATTGGGTCTCTTGAGCACAAATGAGCCCCCCCCTTGTCCCCCTTGGGAGGATGCCAGGCATGGCATCCTGGGTGCGGTGCCAACCCTTTTCTTGGCTGCTCGGCTAAATCAACTCCTTCTCTGCGAGAAGTTTGGCCTTTCGGAAAGTTTATCAAGTTGGATGAAGTGTTTTTTTAAATATTTTAACTAAACTTTGCCCCGCTGGTGATCTATCTTGCTACACTCCAGCCCATGGAAAGAACAATGGGGCTCTGTCCTCTCCTTAGCCTCCCTTCCACTTTCCCACCCCGTGGAAGATGGAGGGAGGTGGGGGGAAAAAACCCCCAACATTTATTGTGGTTACTTATTTTTGAGTCTGCATTAAATGAAACTCTGAAGAAGACATCTGTGCCCAACCTGGGCGGTGGGAAGTGGGAAGCTGTAACCTTTGAATGCCAGTTGGTTAATAAGTCCCTGCGGGCATTTAACTAGAGATTTAATGTTTATCTCGCTTTTGAAATTTGGCTGTGCAGAGTGCACAGAATCCTGTTTCAAAGGGTTTTTTAAAAAAAAAAAAAAAGAAGAAGAAGAACACCAAGCAAAATATTTCTGGCTGTGCTTTACCAGCAAAGAAAGCGAGATCTTTCCTTGTTTTGCAGCCTTGAGGAATATTTCCTTGGTTCAGGAAGCCACGTTCTTGGCAGTTTGGGGGGGTCTGTGGCTTAGTGTCCTGTGCACCCCCTCCCCACGGTTTAACAGACCTCGGTGGTCGTGCCCTTAATGCCGCACATTAATTCAGCCAGGGGTGCCTTATTCAGCCAGCACGCTTCGAAGCCTTTGCTGTTTTCATGCCAAGATCGGAGGTGCTAAACTTCCTCCGGGGCGTATGAGCTGTTTTCTGCAAATCTTAACGCTTCTTTGGGAAAAAGGCCTCCTTCCCGATTTCATTTTTATCGAACAACTCCAAGGTATCGGCGCAGGTTCCACCACAAAACCGCGGATGACAAAATCGCGGTCGAAGAAAGCGCGCATTTGACGTCATCACAGCGTGACGAAAAAAA